ATATTTTAAAGTTAGATAATATATGTTTGGTTTTTTGTATTTCTCATTCAAGCTGCAAATGGAAAGCAGAAACTACTGTAAGTTAGGTACCTTAAATATGGTTAGGAAAGTACTTAAAAGAAGTCCTTGGCACATTAAGCATAGCGCACATAGCACACAGAAAAGAAAAAACAAAATTAGTTAAAATTAGCAACCAAATGCAAAAAGATCAGAAATTACAATTAAATTGTATAAAGGTCAGAGCGAAACTCTAGAAAACTTAAAGAATATGCAACATTCGCATAAGAGTATTTAAAGTTAGGCATAGTTACGATTATATAACTGTTAGCTGCATTTGAAGGGGGGGCAAGTGAAAAATCTCGACAGTGTTGTGATCCATGGCATGCACATACTGAACTATATTTAACTAAACTATAAACTAAGGAACTAAGGCATTCAATTCAAAAATTGAAGCAGTTATCAGACGATATTATGAGTATGCGAAGGCATAGGCATAGTCTATAAACAGAAAGCAGCACGTGGGTTTTTTAACACAGCACTACACACACACACACATACACACTCACACGCGCACACACATAGGAACACCAATTGAACAACATCACATAGTGGTTTAATTGTTGTAAATTAATTCAATTAATAAATAATTAGATCGGCGTTAAGCAAACATTCAACAATAACAACAACAAGAAATGTTTACACGATTATCACAAGAAACTGCCATAAAATGTCTTCAAATCGAATATTCAAATCTATTGATTTGCATTTTAATATGTTTATGTGTCCTGCAAATATGTTAATATATATATATTTTTTATATAATTTAACTTAGTTTTGCCACACTTAAGACTCGGTATTTTTAAGACTCATTTTATTTCATTCAATAAGCACTTAGTTCTCCACACCAGTTGAGACAAAAAAATAAATAAAGTACATAAAAAGAAATTCCTAATGATATTATTAATAAATAGCATTTAACATAAAACAATTTGTAAAAACACACAACAACACAGATATAGAGTATGATACGAATCTAGAGTAATTTATGCCAATTGTATGCAGTACTAGACACTAAGACATAGCCCCATAATTACAATCAAATTTTTGGCAGTTTTTCCAATCGAAAACATAAGCGAAATGAGAAACTCATTTAAATGTATGCATAAGACGAATATACTTTATTTTGAATGCACTTAACATATAAATATACATATATATAAAAATTCGAAGAAAAAACCAAATGTATCCCAGCAGGAAATTTATAGAAACGCGCAACTAGAATTCCCAAAGCAAAGATCAATAAAATCCATTAAAGTTTCACCTTTATACAAGAAAAGCAAATAAAAACTTGTAAAAAAATAAGCGAAAACCAATTAAAATAAAGTCAAAGGTGTTTTAGTTGCATTTTTGATAACATATAAACTAATATATGTATTAATAGCCAAAAAGCGCACTTTGTACAATTTTATGAAACTATTATTATTATTTTGTCACACAAAAATAATAATAAACAATAACTTAATCCACAACATGGCATATTTACATATGTATAAGCATAAAACAGAAAACAAATAATACCAAAAATCAATTAAAAACAATTGGTGCATAGGCCAAATTCTAATTTCTGTTCACAGACAGAAAATTAAATATAAGATATACATATATATATATATATAGAGGAAAGGTGACAGAGCATTCAAGAGGTAGCTTTAAATACGGTTACAACATTTTCGGTCACTCACAATTGCAATCGCAGAGTCACAGTCACAGTTAAAGTCACGTTCGCGTTCACGTTCACGTCGTTTCGGTTCAGTTCCTTCACACACATGACAACAAACTATGGAAATATTTTGGTGCCAACTGTGTTTAAAGTACATTCCATTCCGTAAACAAAAAACGTACAAGAAATTGAATTATGCCAGCACATAAAACATTGCATGTAATTTATTTGAAACCCAAACAAAAACAAATTTCAAGTAATGAAATGTGCGGCAAGTGACGCTGGTAAATAATAAAGAAATAAATAAAAACGGCAGCTGTGTAAATAGTCAACGCCTGTTGAAGAATGAAAGATTGAAAAATCCACAAAATGAAATTTACGAAAACAACCAGAGAAAAACTGTCAAATTTTTAAATAGTTTTTTTTCCACTTTGGGATTGCTCATGAATTGTGCATTATGTTTTCAGTTGTACGCCGTAAGTTTCACTTGTATGATAAACAAAATGAAATATTTATAAATATATGAAAAAAAAAAAAAAAACAACAACAGGAAAAATCAAATATAAATAGTATTATATAGAATGAACAAGAAAGAAAACTTATAATGATGACGCACTGAATCAAATAGATGAAACGAGTATTTAAAACAAGACAATTAAAAACAACAAAAACAACTTAAACAAGAATTTTAAAAATACAATCCGCTTGTTTCATTCCAAATCGGGTTAACTACATTCTGCACAGCTGCCGGCCCCTACATGGGTCACAGGCGCTGATTGCCCCACATCCTGTGTTTGGACTGACCAATAGCCTCGCCGGTGTTAAAGTTAAGGCACCTGCCAAGGCTCGAGGGCGGCCCAGCTTGTTGCCACTGTGGGCACCTGGGCCTGGGTTGTTTGACCCGCATAGCATATAAGCCACCAACAGCCGCCGGTTCCATGCCTTTGTTGTTATTGCTGTTGTTGTTGTTATAGTTGTTGTAGTTGTCACCATCCTGGCTGTGTGCTCAACTGTGGCGCTGTTTATTGCCGCCAGCTGACTAAACTCCACTCTGTTTTGGGACCTGACCAACACCAGACTGGGCCAAATGGCGTTGATAAGCCTAACTGCTAGACCTGCTAATAAAAAAAAAAGACTAAATACATTGCAACGAGAGTTGACACTGAAATTCATATTAATTATTTTATATTCTATCCATCCAGCCTACATGGCGTTGCTGAGTTTAGTTTAATTAAAAACAAATTTATTTATTTATTTAACGGCTTTTAAATTTGTGCTTCTTTATTTATATAAATATATTTATATATATCTAACATATATTAAAAAGTGAAATTATATAGAATTAGCAGACTCGTAACAATTTTGATTGTCTTGATTCTTTGATATTGTGTGAGCATTATTTTAAAAGATACAATATATATTATATCTGGCACCTTCTACAGTTAACTGGACATAAAACAGAGCATGAAAGTGTCAAAACAGCTCAAAACTTTCAAGCGAATATACTTCTTATGCCTTATAATATAGAGTATCATATAGCTTAAATCTTCTTCCATTTTAAGTTTACTTTCATAATTTATTTGAATTGAGTTTTTAAACAAGCAAAATCGCATTTTCCAAGTTAAAAGTATTCAACAAACTCGCAGCCAAAAACTCTTTGAGCACACCTCGCAGCAGTTGCTGAGTCCACAAACATGCGCAAATGTACTTGTATATTTGTATTTGCGCCGAGGGCCAATTGAAGTTGTTTACAATTGCCAGTTCAGCACAATTGCTACGCCAGGAACAACACCTACAACAACGACATAAACAACAACAAGTGTAGCCAGGTAAAAACTTATTGCCGTTGCAATTGCAACTGATAAACTGACAGATTGACGACAGTTTTGAACAACTGTTCGCTTGGTCTTTCTCTCTTAGTGCAAGATGTGCTCCATCCGAATGCATATTAAACACAAAATGTCCAGTGTTTCTCATAAATGATCATCATTATGATCATCATCATCATTCTGCTGGTTATTGGTGTGGAAAATATGACAAATCAAATTAATTTTTCTACTTGCATATATTTTTAAGCATTGCAATCCGATGACAGGTATGCAGATATTTCTTGAACAATTTCATTATTGATTCACGATTGCATATCGGATTTCAATTGAGGCTGCCTGCAGTTGGATTTTATGTAATGCATCTCCTCCCACTCTGGCACACTCTTTCCCTTTCACTCTTCATTTCTATCTCTCACCTGGCCGCTAATTGTGACAGCTACCAATTGTCATTAACGTAAACAAAACGACGGCACAAGCCGCCACCTTTTGAATTTTTTTTATCTTGTCTGTTAAAATTAATTTTTTGTTTATACTTTGCTTGACTTTGCGTTTTTTGATTTTTTATCAAGAAATTTACATGAATTTTCAGCTTGTTGCAAAAAGTATAAACAATCAGTTTTTTGCTGCTCGAATCCGTAAAAAAACAAAAAATAATTATAAGTAATTCGAAAAGCCCAGCACATGGAAATGTGTAAACGCTTTACTTTTGACCAACAGCCGTCAGACGCCAGTCCGAAAATTGAGCAAACCGTATCTGAACAGTGCTGCGAAAAAGTATGCACACTTAGGTGGTGGGAATTTCGGAATATCTATACGGAAATTGTAAAAAAAATGTGTCAATTTGATTGTGAATGATATATATGAAACTTTCTTACAAGCTTCCCTGCTGCGCAGCAACTTTAAGAAGAAAAATTTTTAAATGTTGCCCTACTACGTGATTCTCATAAATTCAAGTAAGCCTAACAAGTTTTCGTTACCATATTATTAACTTTATTTATGTCTGCATACATATGTATATATGTGTGTATGTCAATATGTACGTATTCATGTACAGGTATACCTACATATGTATGCCTGCATGTATGTCGGTTCACAAGCTTATTATCCGCTTCAAATTGAAGGAAATGTATTATTGATCATCGCTCTACTACGCGATTCTCATGAATTCAAGTAAGCCTTGCATGCTTTCATGCTTTGATTATAAGTGTAATTTTATTTATTTTTTATTTCAATAAGTGCTTGCAATCTAATAATATTTTTTTTAATATACTTATGTTGTGTGTGTATATTTATATGAGTACATATATATAGATATATATATAGGCATATATTAAAAAAATAACAATTCTTTCTTTTTTCAGTTATGTGAATATTAAATTGTTTTTCGTATTAATTGTGGATATTTAACAATCTTGCGTGTATATGAATTTTCGGGGGTAAGTACATATATGTGTATATTGATATTTAAATAAGAACAGATTGTTAAAGTAATTTATGTCTGTGTATGGGGTATATCCTAGACTGTCTGCTGATATATCCGATAAGTAGGAATCAATTAGTATATACATTTATTTGATTGTCAGTACACAGTTTTCTTGTACTCACTGTTCTGCAAATAACCAAAGGCGTTTTAGGGTCAATGAGCTGATAGGCCACAAGTGCGAGACTGAAAATATATTTAATTTCTACTGAAATATCATATTCTTGCTTAACAAATTTTGCGCAGAGTGAATATATATTTCTACAGCAAAGAATAAGTTTAAAGACGGGTATCTCTAAAATAAATGCTGAACGTTGGCCGGAAAGGTCAAGTTCTTTTCTATTGGGCGGTTCAAAGGCAAACCAGTTTTCTAATAGTTTCAAATGAAAGATAGATATAGAAGGGAATTCGAAGCCGTCAAATGCTAATGTTGTAGACAAATTCATGGTACTTAACCGAGTCGAGAAGAGGTAAAAAGAACAACTGTTCAAAGACTGTCAAACATCAATTGTTTCTGTTAGCTGTTTGTGTAGTTGTGTTCCAAGTTTTTTGATAGCCACATGCTAGGTTGACAATTTGTTTAAATATTAGCGACCCAAATAGACCAGAAGTGGATTATGATGCCAACAGGCAGTAAAAAAACATTAAAACAGTGTGACAATAACAAAATGCAGACATCAAATGGCGCACAGTAGCGTCCAATTTATTGGAACAGTGGCCCTCTTTGGCAAAGAGAGAAAGAGAGCGGCTTTGCTGAAGAGATGCCGAGTTGACTTCAAATCGAATGAGTGCGCAAAAGAAAAAGGTAAAAGCAGCTGGCGAAACAACAACAAACGGTAAACGTAACTAGCGCTTGGCGCAAACGCAGACGCCGACGTTGACGGCGCGGCTGACGTCGCAGCTCAGAGTGCTGATCAACGCTTGGACTTGGCCAAAAAGGCGGCCAAGCGCTCACAGGAACATTCAGTTGTGCCGCGAACGTTGTGCGCTTCACACGTAACTCTCCCGCTGCAGTGCCGGGCTGTCTGTTAACAGTTATACCGAAAAGCTTACAGCATTTAACTGTATCTTGTGACAGTGCCAAGCGAAGAATTAGAAAAGCTTTTCAACAATTCAAGAACTGTGATCTCTCGCGTATTCCATTTCGTGTGTGTGTGCGTGTGCGTGTCTTAAATGTCTCTCAACGCGGATCGCTCCTACAAAATGAAGCTGCGCGATGTGGAAAACGCCTTCAAATATAGACGCATACCGTATCCGAAGCGGTAAGTCGAAATAACTACTCTTAACTATATTCTCTCAATACATTCCATATCATGCATTTTATTCTGTTATTAAGTATTTTTTATTGTAATTGGCCCTGTTTAATGAGAATCGGCCATAGCCAATGCGCTCGAATTAAATTAATCTCACTCGAATTGAATTAATCATGTATGTAATTGAAAACCGGTCATAATTACTTATTGGATGCTGCGCACTCCACTCCAACTTGACGTGCACTCAATTCTCGGCTCTGTCAACTTTCGGTTTTTCTTAACACTGCCAACTTTGGCAGCGAGCAAAAGTGAAACGTTTTTTTTTTTCCAATTGCAAGTGAGAAAATCATACAGAAACGCATTTCATGGTCAGCTGCTGCGGCTGCGGCTGCAACTGCGGCTGCATTAGGTATCCAATCAGAATTCTCTCAACGTGCTCCAGTTTAAAATAACTTTAAGCCAACTTGCAGTATTTGGTTTTTTTTTTGTCGATTGTTCTGCAGTCATATTTCATTTCGTGTTGCCAGCAATTGTTGAGCAGCTTCGGGGCCAGTTTTTTAAACATTTTTTTTCGTTAACCCGAACTATGCTCAGAGACAACAACAATGCGCGCCAAAGCCAAAAGAAAACCTCGAAAACTCAAATTCAAACGCCAACTCGAGTATCTCAAGTAGCCCCCACTTCAACTACCAATACTTCTTTGTTGTTTTTCTTTTCCTATTACATGTATATTTTTTTGTTTATTTTTTGGCTGGGTTCTTGGCTGCCTTTTAAAGAGCTCAGAGCTGGCTGCCCGCTCATTAGTCGCTGGCCGCGCCATAGCGGGCCATTAGTTAAGGTGTTTTGGCCAGGCCCGTACCGGGGCTCGTTCGCAGCGTCCGCTCATTGTGCAACTTGTGGCAGACCCAAATGTGTTGCAATTGAGAGCGCATTAGATGTAAACTAATGATATACTGAACACACACTTGTTATGGCCTAATTGGTATTTAAAAATGCATTGATTTTTTTTCATTGGGTGTGATAATAGGTTTAAATAAAAAGTTAACTAGCGAAATATACAGATAGGCAAACAGAAAAATTAATGAAAAATAATTCCTTAAAGTTTACTTTGAGCACAGTTTAAATCAGGGCTGCAAAGCACACTTTTCACTGGTTCGGTTCAGGGTTCACAAACCAACTCCCTGCCTTCGGGTTCGATTTGTGCAGCTGCTATCCTTTTAGTTCAACTTTGGTTAACAATTTTGTTATATTTGAGAGAGCAAATTTAATTTGTAATTTACATTTGCCCGTTGTACTGAAAATATTGCAACCCGTAAATATTTTCATATGCAATATACGGGCTAGATTTTAACTCTACTCAAAATTGGCATCTACCAAAGCTAGGTAAATCCAATTGTTGGGACCAAATGCATTTATAATTTCGGGTTTTTGAATGGATTTGGTTTGGGTTTCGGTTCATGGCAGAAAAAAATAATTTGCAGTGCCGGATTCGAACCAGCTTGTAGCCTAGCTATAAATATATTTTAATATGTATTTCGTGTAGTTTTTTGCACCTTTCAATTAATAATGAAATCAGGCTATCAAAATATTAATAGGCTAAACGGAATCTAAATTGGATTGGATGTAAGGATTATTATATTGTACATACATATATCTTATCCTGTCCCTACTAAATCTGCAAGATATTAATTTGATCAATTAATACTGCTGTCATGTTTAAAGACCTGCAATATATAAAAATATTTAGCTCATTTATAAATTAATTGCATACATTTGTTGGCGCTCGGAGAGGAGACTTACATTAAATTTAACGCTCATTTTGACAATTTCACGCATCGTTCGTTTGTTATTTAAATTTCTCATTTAGTCAGTCATTCAATCAATCATTCGGTAAACAGCTTTTATTTTTTATTTATGCGCAAGAACAGTTTTAATTGCTATTGCAATTAACCGTAAAAGACAAACTTTTGTTTTTACCATAAAGTTAAATATATATTTACTGTCTGGAAAGTGGAAATGTGTTAAAAATAATGGAAATAATTAAAACAAAATCAGAATCAACTACAAATATTGATGTGTGCAGCCGAGCGAGAACTGTGCTTTATTTACTCGACGCCTTTTGTTGTTGCTCTCAATTGATATTAATTAATTTAATTAATTGCCAAATCGATTGCTGAATTTATTAACGGACGTTGCTTTCGCTAACAAAGTTAACAGAGAGAATGAGAGGAGATTTTGAGTGCTCTCTTGCTACTTGTGTAAACATTTACACACAAAAATGCACTTATTAATTAACTAGCCATTTCGCAAAGCGTTGCAATTCAATGCGTTTGTTTTTTGTATTTTAAATTTTTACAATTAAATTTATAGCTTGTTTTTATGCAAATTAAAAGCTGCTGTTAACAACAGCCCTGGCACTGTTAACGCCTTCGCCGTACTTACCTAGTTATGTTAACAGGCCTAGAAACTCTTTGACAACTGCAGATGGCTTCAGGGTACTTAACAGCTTTACTTAACGCAACCATTTGTAGTCAAATCCGCAGCTCAAATGAAAACGTATAAAATTAATCGTTCAATATATGCGGCTATCAATAAAATTCACTTTTGTTTTGATATTTTTATTACTGCACAGCGGCGTGACGTCACAAACAACAAGCGCTGCATAATTAATTAGAACTATTGCGCTTGCAGCATGTGAGCGAAAACGAATAGGCAAAGTCAAAGCGCAGCAATTGTTTTTGATAGCTGCGCCAGTGCTCTCTCTCTCTCTCTCTCTCTCTCTCTCTCTCTCTCTCTTTCCGTCGCTCGCTCAGCTTGTCTCTTCTCCTGCATTTGGCACCTGCGGTTGTAGCTGCTTGTATCTTCTTTGATCGACGCCGCTGCGCTGCCACTGCTGCTGCTCGCACTGTTTGATAACAATTATGGCACGCCCTGCTTGATGACAATTATGTGATTTGCTTGGCAGATATTCAATGGAAATCATTTGCAGCACTTGGGCGCATAGAAAACCTAATAATTACAGCTTTCTTGCAATAGGTGTGACGGCTTGCCAAATTAATGTACGCACACGCACACACATTCGCACACAGTTTTTGCGCTTGTATGTATAAACAATTAATTAACTGTATGCCGGCAACGTTGTCGCCGCTAAAATTGTTTCGTTTGCAAGTTTGCGTCGTTTCTTTGCCTTTCCGTTTGTGCTTTTTACTTACAACAAAAATGTGCAAGCGACTGCATACGGGAGCGGAAGCTTTGACAGTTAGCTGGCGAGAGCTGAGTCTGGACTTTTCTCACACATTTTGATGCTGTGATTTCTGCTACCCTGTTACCCACATGTTACCCACACAGAAGCTTTGACAGTTTTTCGCGAGAACTGAGAGCAGCTAAAACGTCGCTCTGCTTATGCTCGTAGAATATATGGCTGCTAGCATCGGCCTTTGCTGCCCTTTCGCCCGCATGTTAAACGCCGCTTAAGCTTTGCATGTTAGCAGATCTTTTTGCACGCAATTTATTTCGAGTGAAAGCCTTAAATTGTTTACATTGTAACCGAACGTTATAGCAATTTTATGACCGCAACCGTTTAACGCCTTGTGGTCACACAGTTTTCTGATGATGACATAAAAACCGAGACGAAAGACAGACACGCCCGCCCACAGCCAACCTGCTGGACTAGGGTAATAAAACTTATTAGTTATAATAAATATATGAAAATGGGGGACAGTAACTAATTAACTTTCGCATAATTTTTATTTTCGCTCTGTGAGCTCCAAAAACAACGCCTCTGCCCTCCCATTGGGGGACTTGTTTTATTATGTAAAGCGGTCAAAAGTCGCGCTCGCAGCCAAATTCGCATTATTTCACTGTGTAAAGTCTAAATTGAAAAATAAAAAGAAAAAAAAAAAATAATATACTGTAAGGCAAAAACTGATTAACACAATCATGTGAAAAATGTGCAACACAACAGTTTTGGCTAAAAATAACAAACAACAGCAAAATGTGGAAATTAAGTGAATAGCTTTCACTTGATATACAAATATGGCCCAGGCGGACCATCTGCGAGTGGGCGGGGCTGGCAATGCGTAACGACGAGCCTTAATGATAATGTTGCTTACTATTTGTACTTTTTGTTGTTGTTGTGCTTTTGGCACGCGTTTGGTACTCAACTTTGAGTCCATTAAAGTATCAAGAAAAGTTGGTGCACTAGTTCCAAACTAAGTTTAATGAACATTTCCTTGTCACATCAAGAAAATCAAATTAAAACTGTTGAAATATATTTGGCATAAGAGATGCCAATCATAAGCGATCTCAGATTGCCAAATAAGCTCGTCTGCCTAGGAAAAACTTAAATATATATACGTATTTCTTTTAACACTTTTGTGAGTAAATACAAACCCATGTTAAATGCCCGGACTAACCCACACATTGACAATTCTCTTAATCGCTGACTCAGCTGCAGTAGCCCTAAAAGCCACCACTTAGCACCGCCGAAATGCTTGGTAAGAGCTTGGAATACCTGCATCTGAAAATGTGCCGACTGCTAATTGCTCTTCAATTGGAGGCAGCGCTAAAATCGTAGCGTCCATTGCTTTCACTTTACGCCCAAACCGGCGGCATCTAATCGATTGTGACAGTTCTGCGTCGCACGAGCGGGGGGTGAGACGTTGGTCTAATGGTGGAACCACCCAACGAGTCTGGGTGCCAGTTGAAGGCGGTTTCTACGCTCTTTGGTAACCCGAGCATGTTCCAGTCTCAGGGGCCATAAAAAATCCTGCTCGCTAAGTAGCTGGCGCCCATAAATCTGCGCCGTGTGCTGTAGTTAAGGTGATTTACATACTTGGAAAACTCGCCCCTTCGTCTACATCTCTGTTCCCATACTCTACGCCGGGTAGTTACTCACTTTCGCTCGTCTGTGAGTACAAAACAAATAAGATAAAAAAAAAATTAAATTGAAATTTGTTGCCGCTGCTGTGTGCTTTGGCAAACTTAAGAAAACAGACAAACAATTTTTACAACGTTTGCATGCATATTTGATCAAAAACAATCAAATTTTATGCAGCGGCAGCGGCTAAGGCAAATTTTTGAACAGCAGCAGACAAACATCTTAAAATGTTTGCGGAAAATGAAAATAAATTTGGAAAATTTGCAAACGTGTGTGTTAAATGAAATGTTTTGCTGTGAGCTGATTGTTCGTGTTGCAGATCCGCAGATAAGTTAAATCCAAATGCTCTAATGAAGAGTGTTCGATTTGTAGATACCCTGCACCTACTTAAATGCAGATGCTTTATATTCAAAATATGTATTTTGAAAAAAAAAAGAAAGTCTATGTATACGCTTTTTATGGGAATTCTCCTTAATGAACCCACCCGTAGCTCGGTATATATGTTACAATTGCTGTTGATTGTTGTGAAAGGCGGTTTCAGGCCAAGTGGCAAAATTAAAAATGGATTTTAATGATAGCAACAGCATCACCAGAGCCACGGACATGGACATGCTGAAAACACTGAAAAGTGAACATTAAACATTGATTTTATTTTGTTGAACATCATGTTCGTAAGTCATAAATCTCTTGCTTCGGACTTTTGAGCTAGTCAATGTGTTACCCGCCACGTGCTGTGCGGCCGAATGCCTCACTTGGCAGGCATATTAAGGGCATTCCCACTTCAGCTATATTACATAGTTAATGTACATGTATTTTACAATTGATTTTCGGCTGATCAATGACCGCCCGCTGCCGTGGAGCCACCAAATCAAGCTGCCCAGAGCAGTGGCAGGTGCACAGTCTGTTGAGGATTTTGTGACCCCCACGTAACTTGAAACAAATCGCAAACAGCGCACCTTTCACTTAAATTAAACAAAAATCAATAGCAAAAACGCTGCAAACTGAGTTGAGAGCTTTGCATCTTTGCATCCTAGCTTCGTCGACTGCCTTTTGATGCCTTCATGTAGCCGGCTGCATGCCAATCGCATGGCTTATGTGTGTAACTGGCTTACATTTTAGTCGGCTACGCGGTCGGGTAACAATTGGTCAGCTTCCTGAAACGTTAATCGTAAATCAGGTTTTTATTTTAAGGAGGTTGTTGGGAAACTAATCCCTCAACTTATACACGGTTAGCGTTAATAACAAATCCAATCCAATCCAAATTTGTATTAATTGCTCGTTTTAGAAGGGAATTTGTTCATTTTTATTTTTGTTATAATTTTTGTAAATTATGGTTATTATTATATCACCCGTAAGAATACTAAGTATAACTCTTTACACCTTGAACTCGTACCTCTACGCAGGCTCGTGACTTCTCGTTGTTGGGAAACTAATCCCTCAACTTATACAAGGTTAGCGTTAATAACAAATCCAATCCAATCCAAATTTGTATTAATTGCTCGTTTTAGAAGGGAATTTGTTCATTTTTATTTTTGTTATAATTTTTGTAAATTATGGTTATTATTATATCACCCGTAAGAATACTAAGTATAACTCTTTACACCTTGAACTCGTACCTCTACGCAGGCTCGTGACTTCTGGTTGCTTTTGATGTTTTCCATAGGAACTTTGGCTATCATATTTCCCACTTGCAGGTCGAATTATTTCAAAACCAAAAGGAAATTTATTAGATTCGAGTCTCTTCCGGTGTGGGCTATATATAAATATATTTGAATCGAATCTCAGTCACCTTTCAGCTGTTTTTTAAGGCAAATGGAAAAAAATATGTGTTAGTCTCTTAAATTCAATATGGTATTTAAAATTCAAACCACTTTTACGTCGTGTTCGTTCCATTAAGGCTTTAAAACCGACTGTCTCCAGTTTTGTGTTATTTAATTAATTATATAGTTTACAATTTGTGATACTTTTACTTTTGCATTGGCTTGTCCAAGCTTCATGCAATTACTTTTATAATGTCCTCGTCGTGTGAGTTCAAATTCGATCGGGCCAATGCAATTTTCTACAGCGGCGAGATAGTTACCGGGCGCATTGTTTTGAAAACGTCTTCTATCAAGTCTGTTAACAGGATCTACATACTGTTCCTAGGTCTGGCGAAGGTCATTTTCGAAGAGCAACGTAGTGACACCACATCTGGCAACGAAGTCAGGTACGAAAGGGTGACTTCTCATGCCACAGAGATGTACGTCAAGTCTCACACAAATGTGTATGAGAAAGGCAGACTGCCAGACGGTACGCATACCTTTCCATTCTCCATACCGCTGCCGCTGGAGTGCCCCACATCGTGTGTGGGAAAATATGGGAAGATCTCCTATGAGTTGTCACTCGTGATGGAGCGTTTCTTGAGATACAACAATGTGTTCATTCGGCCGCTGACCGTATTGCAGACCTATAATCTTAACTTGCATCCAGAAATGTCCATGCCGATTGAGCATGAGGCAATCAGGAAATTATGCTGCTGGCCCTTTCGTTCGGGACCCATAAATTTACATCTTGCAATACCCTTTAGTGGCTATGCGGCGGGTCAAACGATAAACTATAAAGTTCATATAGACAATATGTCGAATCGGGATGTTAAGGGTTTCTCAATGACTCTGATACAGATATACGAATTCAGGATTAGACATGAAAGACGCATAGTCTCTTCGTATTATCGCGGGGAATTTGAACCGGAGGTTGTGGCTCCTGAGCACAAGCGCACGATAAAAGGCCACTATATAATACCATCCCTACCGCCCACATCCCTGGCAAAGCTCATAATACAAGTATCATACATGATCAGATTGACTGTCCTGTTTAGCGGCTGGCATATGAAATGGAATATTGATGTGCCTATTACAATTGGCACCATACCACTTACTCAAAGTGGTGATCGCAATGCACCAAAAGAATATATACCAGATATAAAAGATATCCAACGACATACAGTGGGAGATCCACCACCTTCCTATAATGAACATCAACCTTTGTTTGAGCATTCAGCATTTATTGGGAAACTATTTGTGGACCCCGATGCAAATGAGTACAATCGCACCGATGATTTCCTTCCAATGTATCCCGTATACAGAAACATGCCGCTAACCAAGCCAACAATAGAGGGGTCACAAACTGAAATGGCGGCATCGGAGGCTGCTCCCTCAGAGGTGACACCTGAGGCGTCACCTGAGGCGTCATCTGAGGCGTCACCTGAGGCGTCATCTGAGGTGACTCCAGATACGGCTCCAAAAACACCGCCAAAAGAATAGCCAATCATATTAGATTGCTATAAAACCATGTATGATGGAACCTAGATGATTCTTTATCTATATCTGTTTAAATATACGAGTATTTAATACACTTACAATACTGTCAATATGTTTTGCATTATCCTGCCCATATTGCTGAGCCTTAGATCGATATGTTGATCTATGTTGATCTAGCTGAATTTACCAGGCGTTGCCCGACCTTTATAATTCAATATGGAACACATATTTCGTATGCATTTTCCTTCATGAATTTTTCTTCCTATTTATTTACTATTATTTTTCTTTGTCTGTTTCTCTCTCTCTCTCTTTCTCTGGACATAGCTTGTCTAATCCCTATACATTTTTGTTTCTAAATCTTGTGATGATTTTAATTTCTTATAATTTTTGGCTGGCTTTGCTTGTCGATTTGTTTTATATTGAATTTTCTATGCATTTTTATTGACGTCCTTTCTATGCCGACAATTCCCAGCAGGATCTAAGTATGATCAAGCTGCTGTTTGGGCAAAGAAAAGCTATTCTGACTTGCTGAAAAATCGCCTTTAAATTTCAAATTTTTATTAATATTTAATATATTGTACATTTACTTATATTGCAATAAATAGCAACAAACTATTTATATATAATAAACATTCACATGCATCGCATTTTTTCGTTTGTTTCTGCCACAATATTATTGCTTGTTAACGTGTCTTTTGCTGCTTGGGCCACTCCTCAGCAATTAAAAGCAACGCAGAGACACAAAAATAAAATGCAGTTTTTAAATTTTAATTATTGTTAGCGTTGAAAAAAAGAGGCAGATAATAGTCGAAGCTGGACGGGTCTGGACCTGGCCTAGACGCAGTTGCAGCCGCCTCTTCCCTTCGCTGCGGTTAGCCGCTGCCAAAAGCCAAAAGCCAACAAACAACTGGCAGAGCACATGACTTGAATGCGACCATTACGTCATGGGGCTGCACGAGAGCACTGCAAAAAAAATAAAAACAAAAATAAAAAAGTTGTAACCATACACAGAAACCGCATATTTGTCGTGAGCATTTTGTTACAATTTCAATTTGTTGCTTTAAGACTTGTCTTGGACTTTTCTGTGGGGTCGTTCGGGGTCCGATGCATTTGCTGCCGCTCGGCTGCTCGGCGGCTCGGCTGTTTAGGCGGTGTCTTTGTCGTTGGTGTTGGTGTTGACGGCATTGGCTGCAACTTGCCTTTATTTTTTTTTTTTTGTTTGTTTTTTTTTGTTTTTTGAAAGTGCATTTGCTTTGGTCTTGGCCAATATTTGACAACAACAACAACCGAATGGCAAAACTTGAACTGCTTTATTGCAGTTTTCGGATTCTTTTTAGAGCATACTGGCAGCTGTATATGGTCTTTGTTGAGCTGACGATTGCGAGCCGACAGCAATGCGTGCTGGCTTCAAGTGCAAATGATTCCAGTGAGCAATTGCCCGAAGTTCAAATGATGGAGGGGAGGAATAGAAAGTTTCTAAGATTCTTAAATCTATAGCTTCCTCTTTCCGTTTATGAAACCTGCCTTTATGTGCATACTTTTGGATCAATTTAATATTAAATCGAATATGTTTGCAGATGTTGCACACACTAGAATTGTAAAATATATAAAATAATATATAAATGAAGAAATTCCTGTAGATCATATACAAAAAGGGGAGTCCAACAATTCTCTTCCGGCTTGCACTTAATTAAGTACCTATCGAGATTGCAATTTAATTATCTTTTATTCTTTCTATTTTCTTATACCTCTACCGGCTGTACAATCGCTCATTAAATTTTTAAACGCAGTTTTCCCTTGCACAGACCAAGTGTTTATTAGGAAAGGAGAAAGAGATCTATTCCGGAGTAAATTGATAATTTTCTTGATTGCATCTAGAAAAATAAGTTCAATTTTGCACTTCCTCTGCGCTACAAAATGCCGCTGTTGCTCTGATCTGCAATTTGTAATATTAGAGCCGAGCCGGCAGCAGCTCTTGCGGCATTCGAACCGTGTCATTTTCATTACGCGCAACGTGTTTGCGTCTGGGCCGTGGCAGTTTCAGATGCTGTTTCTAGTATTACAAATTGACTTTCACGTGAGAGAACGTCGCTTAGTTGTAGTTAAGTTTTAGCATAATAGCATAAAAAGCCTGAGTTGCGTTCCAAACTGAAACTTGCCATTCAAATTGGTGTCAACCAGTCAACTGGACGCCAAAGAAAGTGGCGCCAGTTTCCAAGCAAACGACAGCAGCAGCTGCAGCTCCAGCAGCAGAAGCAGCAGCAGCAGCAGACGTCGCCCGTCGTCCCAGGCTCAGGCTATAAAGTAGGTCGCCATCGTCATCGTCTGTGACGTGCCCCAACCCGTTTTACCGGCGAGTGCCGCACACACAAAAAACACAACTGGAAAACTTGCACATAAAAATATCAAATAGAATGCGTCCTACGGGACGATTTGCCCCCCCACTAACCCCCTCACCAGCAACGAGTCTAAGATGCATTAAAATTAAATTTTATTTGCAGAGCTTCCAACTTGCATGCTTTCAATTTTACGCCAATAGCTTGGAAATTAATTAAGCAATTTCCCTCGCAGATTTTCCTACTTCTTTTTCCTTCAGCATGCATGTGTGTGTGTGTGCCTGTGTGTGTGTGTGTGTGTACAAAATGCATTTATGCTAATTGTCAGGGGGCTAGATTACGGACGGGAGCAGTGGGCGGCCAGTTATCTATGGCGAAAGTTTGACTTTGCCTTTTGAGCAAATCGAAGCGGAGACAGAAAAGCGACATGCACGAATATTTTTGGGAATTATTGAAGCCAAGCGGATAAATTAGAGAAATTAGCAGAGATATTCAGTTCGGGCATTCGATTTGGCAGGGCATTAACTGAACGAGCAGACTGTAAAGTCATTAAAGAAGAGGAGAAAAACCACACACAGCAAGCACAAATTGAGGAGCGTATATTGTATTTATTGAATGAACTAAGGTTGCAATTAAATTGGCTGTATTGAAGACCAGTTTTATATACAAAATATATATATGTATGGAGAGACTCACTCACAATCCTCCCACGATTCTTGTGCATATTCAGCTCAAATTCGCCTTAAGCTCTCAAGCCACACGAAATTTGCAGCCTGCACCTGAACTCAAATGATAATAACAACGACGCATACGCTTATCATGGCCAAACCAGCTAACCGGGCCCGTTCTGTCTATAACTCGTGCCCGTTTCCCCTCTCTGGGGGCCAGAATTGAAAGCCGGAGTCATGGAGGCGTTAAATGAGTAGCGTTTGACAACTTTCATGTTGTTGCTGCAGCAACAGAGATCAGAAATTAGTGTGCCAAGCAAACCCCCCTCACCCCCTAGCATGTCAACACCCTGCCACCTAATACGCCCTCAGATTCTGCCACCCACCGACACACCCACCCACACATAGCAAGCAAAAATTAATTGCAACGCCGCAAATGACAGCGTCAAGTAGTAAAAGTAAGCAGAAGACGGCTGCATCTGGGTCTGGCTATATGCGAGGCATGCCACGTACGCTAGTTGCAACAAGGATGAGCTCGTTAAAGGAAGCGACAACAACGGCGCAACAGACACAACAACAACTACAACCAAACAGTGTCGAGTTGTTGTCGAGTGCGTAAATTTGTCTTTACTGTTGCCATCGCTGCTGTTGTTGTTGTTGTTGTTGTTGCCACCAAATGTTATTAACATTCGCTGCAAGCAGCACGTGCGCTGCCAAGTCAAAAAGTGGGCGTGTGCCTGCCCCCTTACACACACACACACACACACCCACACCCACCAGGACTTTTCGGTCTTGAACGTATCGCTCTCCTTCCTGCAACATATTGTGGCAGGAAAACGCGTAAAACTTTTGAGTAAATTGCACTCCGGCAAATGGCAAAGTCTTCGCCTAGCGACCACACGAAACATCCGCATCCGCAATCCGCAGTCCGCACACCGAATTCAGCTCGGGCGCAATTCCTGAACTCAGCCTGTGGCCAATTCAAGAGCTGGCAAAAGCAGCAGCCTACTTAGGTAAATTTTACAACCCAATGGGCGTGGCTGGCCTGGAGTGCGATTCGGATTTGTAGTTGCACGATTGCTGGTGTCAGTTGTGCTCTGTTTGGGTCATTGTTGTTGTGGCATCTTCGAATGCTGCTGACAATTTAAAGAGCAAACTGAACAAGGTCCTTAAAGTAGGGAAAGGCAATGGAGGAGTGGCATATTTAATAAAATTTTGTGTTGACCGACAGTTAGCTGGGCAAAAATAAGGTTATTTATATATTTTGATAACAGACTAATAAGATAATTGGGTTTGAATCATGCTAATATTTAAGTTTACATTGTATATTAAAACCATAAATCATGTTGTATGTGTGAGTGGGGGCTGAATAGCCGAACAGCCTTTCAGCCTTGTCAAATTTTCTACAATTGCTGTGCAATTCGTTATTTTTTCGCCCTTCTATGCGGTTTTCATGAATTCAAGTTATGCTTTTAACATTCCTATTTTGACTTAAGTAATATGCGTTTATGTGATATTTTATTGACCATCATTCGCATCCGCCCACTTTCTTTGTCTGTCTTTCTCCTTCTCTTACTCTCACGAAAAGCGCTTCTCTATGCGGCTTTCATAGATTTTAATTAGGTTGATATTTTATAATTTTTTTGTTAACACTTTTCTTGTTTGCAAATTTTAAGTGTGTAGAGCTTTCATTGCAAATCTCTGGCAGCCTTTGCATGTATATGATAAAATAGCTAATTGTTTACAACGTGACTTAGAGCCGGCAAACAGTTTAGCACACATCTGATTTGAAAATTTGTACTCCATTTGATGCTTACCAGGCATAGCATAACAAAACAAACAAACACACGTAAAGGTGCACAACAAACAATCCGCTGATTTATGGTAACGTTATGAAAATTGTTAATTGCGACAATTAAGAGCGGTGCGGAGGCCGAATTGAAGTCTGGCCCTCGCCAAAACAAATGACAATTAGAGTGTGTTAATCGCTGACAAGCAACAGTCACTGCAGGGCGAGGGGTGCTCAAAATATTTGCACGGTGCATGCACAGCGACACCTCCAAGTAGTAGAAGCAACAACAACTACAAATTATGTTG